CCCCCCCCCCCCCCGAACCGAAATCGAAATACCTACCGAAAAGATTGATCCGGAGTCGGAGGGGCCGGGACTTCCGACGTCAGGGTCGGATGAATTCAGGTGAAGTAAATACACGATCAAACCTATCACCTTGGGAATTGATCATGCTTGTTCTTGCTGTTGCTGCAGGGGCATACATGCCTTTGTATCATTGCCTGTAGACACGCGAAGAACTTTACCTTGCCTGTGCTTTCACCGCCACCAAGCTGTTGTGTTGTCGATGTGTCGATTACCTCTCATAGTTACAATGAGAACCTCTTGGGACCGTCGCCGTTAGCTTTTGACGTTTGTCTTCGTCGCCGTTGTCCTTTGTTTGGGAAGATGAAGCTCAAAGTCGTGCACCTTCTGCCGCGCGTTCGTTCAATGGGTGTCGTTGTGGACGCGTGTGACCAAAAGCCGGGAGAGGGGGGTGGGAGCGAGGTACCCCCTGATCGCCCTTCTGATTAACGAGGCTCCACCGAAAAAAGAAGGTCGATCATGGCGCAAGGGAAAAATTAATGCCCGTGGTAGATACCCAAGATTGATTCGCTCTTCGAACCCTCACGATAGCACTCTCAGGAAATGTAGGTCATTCCCTATGCTACGATTGCAACATCGCAAAAGTGTTTCGTGATTTCTCTCGCAATGGCGCTCGCCCTGAACAGCAGCAGGACAACCCCGTATTTCACACCGGCCGACTTGAAGGCTGGTTCTAAATTGGCGATATTTTTCTGTGCTGCGGCTTTCTGGCAGGCCAATGTACAATCTCATTACGGAAATGTAGGTTCCGGTAGTCGATCATGTGGTCGTTTTCGCCTCGTGTTTGTCTTCTCGACAGGCCATTCAGCCGACGCCTGCCGGAGTTCCAGTTCTGGCTGTCCTCGCAGAAGGGGCTGCTGATGGCGTTCGCCATGACGTTTTTTAGCCTTTTCGACATCCCCGTCTTCTGGCCGATACTCCTCATCTACTTCATGGTCCTCATGGTGAGGGGACAACGGGGTGTTTTTTGCTGCGTGGAGATTTGTATTTGCTTTTGGTTTAATTTCTCTTTCACCACCTTATTTGTTGTCAATTGGCAGTAGATCGTTTTTTCGAAAACGCCTGCTGTTACCAGCTTCTTTCATACGCCTTCTATGGTACCGCGAACACATCGAGGTCGAGGAGACTCTTGGAAATACAGTTTGATTTGGGTTATGCTGACGGGGCGGGACTGGACATCGCCCAACCGCAGCGCCCTAAAGTAGAGCATCTCAAAGCATGAGGGGACTCTTGGTAGAAAGATTAGAGCTGGTGACGGGACGGGACTGTGGACATCACCCAACCGCAGCGCCCTAAAATGGGGCGTCTCAAAACTTGTGCATAACTCTTTGTATGGCCGAGGATCTTGATGCGTACCTTGTTTTCGAAGGAGGCAGAAGAAGGTATTGCCGAGGATCTGATTGCGTACCTTAATCTTGAAAGATGTAGAGGAGCGTAGCCAAGGATGTAGATTCTTGCGGGAAAAGTTTGAGTTTTTGATATGTCCGAGTCAAGGCATAATGATCGCCACCTTCTGGGTTGCTTTCGTTCACTAATCCAGACACGGGTATCGACACATTGTTTGGTCTGAAGCTTGCTTCCCAAGCGAAGGTGGCCGTCGTTGGAGTAACACAAGCTTACCTGTCGCGCTCTTGTTTTTCACCTCGAGTTTCCTCTGCGTGTCCAGTGCAGAGTGATTATAGTTGTTGATTTCTGTTTTGTTCCCTTTCCCTTTATCTTACGCCGTTTCGCTCGTGGACATATATGTGAACTCCGAATACGTCTCGGATAAATAAACTCAATTTGCCCCCCCCCCTGGTGTTTGCCATCGGGGTAGGGTTTTCGTCGCTTGGCAACGACGTTGTAAAACAAGCCGCCCCCCCCGATAAAACATAGAGCCATCAAAGCAAAGCTTATTACTCACGTCGAGCAAGCTGAACGACCGGACCAACCACGCAAAAACTACGGAGCTAGATGTGCGGCACGCACAATGCATTGTTTTCGATTGGAGAGAGGCGAGTATAAAGCAGTAAGGAATTGTTGGCCAAACTTTCGGCAGATAGGTCTACTCGGGAGCGTAAGTGGGGTAGCAACCCATGGTGGAGCGTACATGAGAAGCTGGACGTTGGTGTACGCCCCATCCCGGCGTGTGAGTAGGATCTTAGGCTATGCAAGTCGTCCCTGAACTTATTATGGTGAAAATGACCTCCCAGGAGGAAAGTAGCCTGTACCGCGGGACTTCGGAGATGAGAATGGATGGTCGGGGGCTGCTGGACGTTGGTGTA